TATTTTCATCATTTTAATTATATGATAATTATTGATGTCAAAATAAAATGTAATGCATTTTAATATGCGATGGCCGAAAATATCAAAGGGAAAAATACAAGACATAAGATGTTTTAAAACTACAACTATTCGGCCATCACAAGGAAGAGAGAAGAAAAATCCTATTTTGTGTTCAAAGTTATTTTTCTAAAGTGTTAGAAATATACACAAAATATTATAAAGAAATATTTATAAGATAAATATTTTACTATATATTTATTACTCCCAAAGTAGTATTATTATAGTTTTTACTATCCTATATTAAACTTGCTAGCACAAGTTTAATCTTGGACTCCGGAGCAAGTTCGTGTGGATACGTTGGAGGCTTCATACGTTTGCCGCTACGTTCATCTCCTCAAAACCATCCCCGACCGTTCCTCCGTTCTCCATTTTCACTGCTAAGGTAAATTTCTTACTATAGCTAGTAATTTACGTAAGTTGTTCTTGGGTGGAATTGAGTTTTGGACTATAAATTTTTGTTTTCCGCTGCGTTATCCAAGCCTCGTTTCCCAACTGTACATACCTCTTGTACTTCGTTGACGTGGTCTTCGTGTGCCATGAGACAGAGGTTGGCGGCTTCTTCCTCTTCTTGATCCGTTGACTCATCTCCGGAGTCGCCACCCCATGAGATGTAGGCACGTTGCTTTTTGAAGCCAGGTTTGTCCTTGCCGCTTTTGCCTTTTGGACACCTCGGCTTTATGTGGCCTATCTCACCACAGCCATAGCACTTCGGGGGACCGTCGTGCTTTCTTCCTTTGCGCTTAAATTCCTTCTTCATAAATTTGTGGAATTTCTTGATGACGAGTCCGAACTCATTGTCATCATCGCTTGAGTCTTCTTCCACGGTCTCCTTGGTTGCTTTCAGTGTTATTCCCATCTTCTTTTGTTCATCCAAAGACAGAGTTAGAATAGTAGATTCATAAGTTTTGAGGTTACCTCTTAGCCCGTCGATGGTGACATTGGAGACTCCGATGGATTCGTAGATTGCGTGAGCCTTTGATCTCCATTCGGGTGTGAGACTCCGCACGATTTTCCTCACAAGGTCCTTGTTGGCGTACGTCTTCTTGAGAGCGTGAAGGTCGTTGATGATCTTTGAGAACCGATCGAACATGTCATCGATCTTTTCGCCTTCCTTCATCCTGAACATCTCGTACTCCTGCGTTAGGAAGTCAATTTTGGCTTCCCGAACTTGGTCCGTACCTTCATATGTGACTTCCAGCTTGTCCCACATTTCTTTTGCAGTGGTGCAGCAAGAGATCTTGCGATAATCATCAGGATTGACCGCACAGTACAGCATGTTGATTGCCTTGGCGTAGTTCTCCACCTT